ATCCCTCTGGGGTCGATTAATTGGTACCAGACGCAGACTTTCTGGGAGGATAAAAACACTGACTTGTACATCGGCTGGCCCCCGCAAGTCATTGTATAGGCCACATCGCATTCAAACGCCACTACGAATGTACAAATGGAAGTAGAATGCGTGCCGCATCCCAAAAGGGATTGATCAACGGCAAATGCTTTATCCTTTTATCCTTTTATGTGCGCTTATTCCACCACTTCCTGATACTTGCATCCCTTCGCATTATCGCGTAATGTGATGAAAAGTACCAAAACATTCTCACTAGAATCAAATTAGAGGGGATCGTCCTTTTGCCTCCACTACCCAACACGATTTTCACCCTGGCTCCTACTGATGCCTTACTTCGCCAGTCTATCTTACTTACTGTCGTCATCACTTTATGCGGTCCTTGAAAGAACTTGCCTTTTTGGTGGCTTAATTATTTTTTTAGTCACAGTAGATCACGTATGCTCACGTTGACATTCTTTTGTATGATAATAGAAGCGAGAGCGGTGGTGAAGAAGCCGATCGCCATCACATGAAAAACGACGTGAATGAATTTCGACAGGACTTTGCTGTCGTAGCGATACATTCGATACGAAAGAAGTGCTGAAAAACATTCACTCTCCAAAATCACTTCAATTTGTCATTTTGAACTTGGGAAAAAGTCCGAAATGATGAGTTGATCACTAGAAATCTTCAAGCCTAGGAGAAAGTTAATACCGGATCATACCTTCGCCTTGGAAGAACACGAGCCCTGTACTCATGAACATTCCATGAAAATTCAGTCCTCCATCATTACCTTTTTCTGGCCAACTTATGCCACGATCCATTGTGTTAAATAGATAACCTGAATAATTCCTGGAATTAGACCGAGCGAAACGTCAAGTATGCAAAGCTATGCGTGGATGTTGAGGACGGGGAAAAGTTGATTCAGCTACTGTAGAGGAAAAAATCAGAACTCAGAGCAATCTGTGCTTTTGAAAATGTTGTTAAAGCTCAATAAGATTGGACTGGGTTCATGGTGGAAGATGTGGAGTGGGGATGCTGAATAATGCCCCAGTGGCGAAAAAAGCAAAGAAATCCGTCGGCGCAAAATGGGACCCCTTTCTTTGCCCGTTGACCTCCGATAATGGACGAGCTAGCAACCAATTAAGAGGTCTTTTGCACATGTTAAACTGATAGCCACCATCATACCAGCAAACACCATGCTTTGATTGGTAACGCGTTCCATGGAAAGTTATAGGATACGCACCCAAAGCAATATCTCATCAAAATGATGCTGCTGGGGGCGGAGCACAGCGGTGGCGGAGCTCAGAAAGGAATGGCAAGCCTGTACGCTGCAGCTAGCGCACCTTTGGCCACAAAAACGCTTCCTTGGGCCCCTGACTACTGCTTCCACTGGTGCATGTACTTCCACGCTGCACACACACTTTATCGTAATCTCTCGCTTTAGGTGAGGTGATGAGAAAGATACTGAATTCTCATCGGATTCATTGTTTACAGGGCACATTCTCATCACCTCCTCATGTTATGCGGCACTGAAGAATGCACATGGTCCAATCAGAAGTGCAAAATTCACTTGCCGCTGAGGATGACGAGTGTGAACCCGCAGAGCTGACTGAAGGAGACCAGAACGTCAAACATGGCGTATCGTTTATAGTAGCTCGTCACCACAGAGCTGTCAGACATCTCTGTAAAGAAAGACATTAGCTTTCAGCTTTTCATCCGGGCCAAAGACGACCTTTCGAGCATTGAAAACAAGTGCTAACAAACAACATCTGGAGACATGAAAATACATCAGAGAAATCAGATTTCATGAGACACCTGAAGCAAAATTCAATAAGCAAAATCGCATGTATAATAGCAAAAAACGTAAAATAAGACAGACCCTACTGAGAAAGTACAACAAAATGGCTGAAGGGAAGGTAATCCTTCTTTTGACAGAAATTGCATTAATAAGCCCTAGTAAGTTAAAGCTGCTCATAGCCAGAATTCTATGGATCTGATAAGTTTTCATTGTTTCCCTTTTCCCTTACCCTAGCTAGTTCTGTGTGAGATGCTGCCATTTTCCCATCCTACGTATTGCCGTAATCTTGACTTCAATGACGGCCTTACTATAGGTAATTTCTGAGCCTTTCTTGAAGGTTCCCTCTTCGGCCTTTGTCCAATACCCAAAACCTAGCGTCTTTTATCGGTGCTCTCTGAGCTCCCTCAACATTATGCCCCATATCCCTCGAGACAACTGCTGCGTGTAAGTCTAACAGGGCCCTCTACGCGACTGCCTGACGAGATCCTCGATCGGGCTTTTGTACTCTCTTTCCGGACTTTGACTCCACTTCCATCTCACCGAGCCTGCGCCTATACTATGCCAGCTCCTTCTTTCGCTTCTTTTGCCCCCAGCATGAAGCTCTTCTCCACCGCTAGTCATGGAGATCTCGCCTTTGAGATCTCGCTCTTCGTCGGTCCTTTCATAGATTTACTCCACCACAACATCAGGCTCCACATAGAGCGAAAGGCTTAAGAATTGATCATTAAGAACGAATCACGAAAAACGCATAAGGAAGAAGGGAATACGCCTAGTTCGGAGCAGTGAACCTCCTAAGCGACCGAACTGCCCAACTTGCAGGAAAAGATTTGAACTCGGCGCTCCAGCATGGCTCAGTTTTGGCGTGGTTGGCCGGGTATACGCCCAGCGACCATCCAATCACTCGCCGCAGATGTATACGTGGAGAATGATTAGATAACACGTAATAACTTCGTAGTGTTGAAACGCTTAGTGGCCACAGCGATGAGACGCATCAATGGTAAATAACTTGCAAAGAAAGTGTCTCATTTCTTGGTTCTGATACTTCCTCAGTTTTTCTTCTTCGTACTCATTTACGCATCCTTATTTAACCCATTGCGGACCGCGTGTTGCACCATGTGCAGCACGCCACCACGCGGAGAAGGATAGTAATCTTCGATTTTTTCAGCATTTTGCTAAGTTACAAAATCAGTTTTGCTTTTTCAGACACAGGATATATCAAGTACTTGCGTACTTTTTAATTTTAGATAGATTTTTGGCCACTGATGAAAGAGATGACAAAAACCTACTGAACCAATTACAACGCAGTCCCCGCAATCGTTAAAATGATATGCTTTTCGGCGTGATTCTTCCTTTCAATACCCCCCAGCTGCGGTATCGCGAACACTCCTTAAAGGAACTGGCGTATACTTCATCAGCCTCATTGTATGTAGGTATCCCAAAATGATGTCTAAAGCTTATTATGGGGTTCAGGTTCTCTGAGTGCATGCAGAGCACTGGTGTTTGATAATTGGACCATAAACTCCTGCTCGAAATTTTGCATCGTTCATCCCAAGTCGAGTTTGTTAAAAAGTTAGGATAGTGAAAATGTAGATGAAAATCTCAAGAAAGAAAATTCTGAAGAGTGAGCGGGTATGGTGGAGAGTAGAAGCAAATATACTACAAAAGAAGAACGGGCTGCAAACAGAATTAAGAAAGCTGTCAAGAGGAAAACGCAGTAGAGACTCCTCCGAAACTTTTAGTGAGAAGACCTTCATAACCGATGTACTTCGTAATATTCTTTCCATTTCATAGAAAATAAACTCGTGTCAAAGAGGAAAATGTGAAACAATGCAGCATACTATATTCGGAGGAAGAAACCTGATGAATCGAAGGCCCTACCACCATTACAAGGAAAGATGTAGTCGAATCGTGGGTCCGATAAAAGAAGTATGTATAGCCTCCTGAAGCATCTCAACCCGATCCAAATCTGCCTTTCAAATCTGCTAAACGGCTCTCCGAACGGAGTTATGAAGCGTAATAGCTCAGTGGTGATGGTCCGGGGTGGCAGGTAAAAGCTCGTAGGATCGGTTCCTTTGCAAGTTTGTTGCTTTGCTTTTGTCCGCAAAACACTCTAGAGACAAAAGCAAACTTGCAACCGGAACCGATCCTACGAGCTTTTACCTGCCACCCCGGACCATCACCACTGAGCTATTACGCTTCATAACTCCGTTCGGAGAGCCGTTTAGCAGATTTGGAAGGCAGATTTGGAATCAGCGTCTAGAGACGCATCAGGGTATACATCTCATTTTATACGGCCACTTCGACCTACCATCCTTCCCTTGTTAGTGGTCAATCCTTGAAACGATTGGATTGCGAATGGACTACAGTAAAAGATACATGTAGATGAAAATCTCAAGAAAGAAAAATTCTGAAGTGTGAGCGGGTATGGTGGAGAGTAGAAGCAAATATACTACAAAAGAAGAACGGGCTGCAAACAGAATTAAGAAAGCTGTCGAGAGGAAAACGCAGTAGAGACTCTTCCGAAACTTTTAGTAAGAAGACGTTCAGAACGGAGTATCTTCGAATATGTGCTTTCATTTCATAGAAAATGAAACTCATGGTCAGAAGAGAAGTGGAAACTAATCAGCACACGTGTATTGGAGTGAAGAACCCTATGAGATCGGAGGCCCAACTCCACTATTACCCTTACAAGGAAAGGATGGTAGGTCGAAGTGGCCGTATAAAATGAGATGTATACCTCCTGATGCGTCTCTAGACGCTGATTCCAAATCTGCCTTCCAAATCTGCTAAACGGCTCTCCGAACGGAGTTATGAAGCGTAATAGCTCAGTGGTGATGGTCCGGGGTGGCAGGTAAAAGCTCGTAGGATCGGTTCCTTTGCAAGTTTGTTGCTTTGCTTTTGTCCGCAACACTTCTAGAGACACAAAGCAAGCAAATTTGCAAAGGAACCGATCCTACGAGCTTTTACCTGCCACCCCGGACCATCACCACTGAGCTATTACGCTTCATAACTCCGTTCGGAGAGCCGTTTAGCAGATTTGGAAGGCAGATTTGGAATCAGCGTCTGGAGACGCATCAGCTTGAGGTATACATCTCATTTTTATACGGCCACTTCGACCTACCTTCCTTGTTAGCTTGTGTCAAGCGCTTGAAATCGGAAGTGGATGTGCGAAGTGAACTGACAGTAAAGGATACAGGAAAAGGAATCGGAATGCTGAAAAAAGAGTATCCCTATTCTGGAATGTGGGCGAGTCCGCGCGACAGGCAAATCAAAAGGCACGAGGCGATGAAGCGAGGGAACGCCTCTCGAAAGAGCACACAGGAAGGAGCGAGACGCAGACACCACACATCTGCAGACGGTGGGAGTGAGTAGATGCCGTCGTGCATGTGATATCCTCTAGTGGCATTTTTGTAAGCTTTTCGAGTCGCAAAGGTGGCACCGCTCCTGTTGACCCACCCCTTCACTCACAGACGCAATTCATATGTGTTTGAAAAAGGCGCTAATCTGCTGAAAGCATTCGGAAGATCTATAGAACGTCAGAAGTGGAATAACAGAACTGTGATAATGACCGAAAATTTGTACTTAGCTTAACCTCTTCGTAGATGCAGCTAACTAGATCAATGTGGACCGGCGTGAGTATCAGCTGGAGAAGGGAGCTTGCGATAAAATCAACATTTAACTAAAAACAATGTTTGCATTTCTAGAACAAGCATTTCAAAGTTGCCTTTTTACAGGAAGAGCCATGGTCTTTACGACAGACACAGGAAGAGAAGTCTGTTGTGATTCTTGGTCATGACATCTGTCGTCTAACGCATCGGGATCAGGACATGCCGCCGCACACCAATTTTGACGAATTTTGTTAATGTTTGCAAATTTTTGTGTCGAGACCGCTAGAGTATACTAGGCATTGTTAAGGGCATGGGTCGGGATCAAACTGATGGTTCATTTTGTTAGGAAATTAGGCAAGAAATGCAATGAGGAAAGGTGAGTGGGGAGAAAAAGCAAAAAGCACCATAGAAAACA